TCCGGGAGTATGGGGTACCAGGCCCTTTGATATGGGCTGTTAGGTCCCTGAATGACTGGTGTCAGAGCTTGGTCTGCATTTCCGGCAGTAAGTCGGACTCATTCCCTGTGAGAGTTGGACTCCATCAAGGTTGCCCTTTGTCACCAATTCTGTTCATAACTTTTATGGACAGAATTTCTAGGTGCAGCCAAGGTGTTGAGGGGATCCATTTTGGTGGCCTTAGGATTGCATCTCTGCTTTTTGCAGATGATGTGGTCTTATTGGTTTCATCAGGTCGTGATCTACAGCTTTCACTGGAGTGGTTCGCAGCCGAGTGCGACACGGCTGGGATGAGGATCAGTTCCTCCAAATCCGAGGCCATGGTCTTGAGCTGGAAAAGGGTATAGTTCCCTCTCCGAGTCGAAGAGGAGGTCCTGCCCAAAATGGTGGAGTTTAAGTATCTCGGGGTCTTGTTTACGAATGAGGGAAAAATGGAGCGAGAGATCGATAGGCGGATAGATGCGGTGTCTGCAGTGAAGCGGGCGCTGTACTGGTCTGTCATGGTGAAGTGAGAGCTGAGTCAAAAGGCGAAGCTCTCAATTTACCAGTCGATCTACGTTCCTATCCTCATCTATGGTCATGAGCTTTGGGTTATGACCGAAAGAACGAGATCACAAATACAAGCGGCAGAAATAAAGGTGTCTGGGCTTTCCCTTAGCGATAGGGTGAGAAGCTCGGTCGTACGGGAGGGACTCAGAGTAGAGCTGCTGCTTCTCCATGTCGAGAGAAGCCAGTTGAGGTGGCTCGGGCATCTGGTTAGGATGCCTCCTGGACGCCTCCCTGGTGAGGTGTTCTGAGTACGTCCCACCAGGAGGAGACCCAGAGGAAGACCCAGGACACGCTGGAAGGACTATGTTTCTCGGCTGGCCTGGGAACGCCTCAGGATTCCCCTGGAGGAGCTGGACCAAATGGCTGGGGAGAGGGAAGTCTGGGCCTCCCTACTTAAGCTGCTACGACCCGACCCCGGATAAGCGGAAAAAAATGGATGGATGGATGGATAGATAGTGATAAATGAAGGTTCAACAAAAATGTTCTTTTTAATAGCCATCTTTAGTTAGTGCTTTCTCTCAAGGCTGTTTATCACCTGCTGTACAAGGTGGGCTTGTTAGTAAATGTCTCATGAACCTGTGAATGGCTTCATGCTACTTTTTGAAAATTGATTATTTTCTAATAATCAAATGTTCATATTATTATCTTATCATCTCAAATCAATTAAAATGGCCTCCACTGCTAATAAAAATGTCTGTAACAGTAAGTGTTACTTATTTTCTGAGGGTTCCCAACTCAAACTTTGAGCTCTAACAAGTCACAAGAGATCTTTGTTTAAATATTTGGCACAAAGGTGATAATGGTGTTAATGCTTATCAAGCATTGGCTCATTTCTGCTTCTTTCAGCCTAATTGGGCAAACGTGTTGTTTCTGCTTTCTTCTGCTAATTTATACTCCTTTTCAGCTACGATTTAGCGTAATTTTTTATTATTATTTTTTAGCTAATTTCAGTTGTTTTCCAATAAATTCAAGATTTTCATGGTAATATCTGCTACTTTCAGCCTAATTAACTTCTTTATGCTAATTTCAACTTGTGCTCCTTTCAACTTTTTTCTGGTAGTTTCAGGTTTTTATGCTATTTCAGCTACTATTTAGCTGTTTTTATGCTAATTTGAGCTTTTTCAGCTAATTCCCCATATATTTTAGCGCATTTCAGCTTTTTCCCCTTTCCTTCTGGTAGTTTAAGCTTCTCTTTCTGCCTTTTCAGCTACTTTTCAACTATTTTTTTTGTAATTTCAGCCTTTTTTTTAGCTAATTTTCAAATTTTTTGTGCTCATTTCTGCTTACCGATATTTAAACCTAATTCAGCAAACATGTTCTTTCTGCTTTCTTCTGCTAATTTAGGCATGCTCTTCCATTTCAGCTACATTTCAATATGTATTTTTTAGCTAATTTCAGCTGTTTCTCAACAAGTTTTTCTGTAAGAATCATTCACAGTGCATTTTGGCAGGAAATGCAATTTCTCTAGTTACATTTAGTTTTGCTTGTTTGCTGGAGTTGACTGAAGATAAACAGACAGTAGATTATGCTTCAGATTTCATCTGTTTATTCATGTCGAGAGTTACACAGTGGTGTGGCGGTTAGCACACTTACCAAAAATGAACAAACATTACTTTGATTTGCTGTACCATCAATAAACACTGCTGACTTTTTTATTCAAGGGAATCATTTCTGAGAATGTTCACAGAAATCTTCAACTCCTTGTGAGCTCAGAGGAACGTGTCAATGAAATCTACAGTTTATCCATCCATCCATCCATTATCTTTACCCGTTTATTCCATTTTGGGTCACGGGGGTCGCTGGTGCCCATGTCCAGCAATCACTGTGCGAGGGGCGGGGTACACCCTGGACGGGTCGCAAGTCCATCACAGGGCCACATAGAGACAAATGAGACAAACAAACATTCACTCTCTCACTCACACCTAGGGACAATTTAGAGTTACCAATCAGCCTAACATGCATGTTTTTGGTCTGTGGGAGGAAACCAGAGGACCCGGAGAAAACCCACGCATGCACGGAGAGAACATGCAAACTCCACCCAGAAAGGCCCCTGGACCAGGGTTTGAACCAAGGACCTTCTCGCTGAGAGGCAGCAGCTCTACCAGTTGCGCCACCGTGCTGCCCATCTACAGTTTATATACTCCTGAAAGTTGGTATCATGTTATCATGTTGCTGCCTGTCTGATAACAGTTTTCTTGTCAGCTCAACTCCTCTCACACCTTGTAAAGGAATTAGATGAAACAGTCCACTCATCATGTTTTTACATGATGAGTGGAAGTTCTTACCGGAGTTATGACACTTTGCAATTATTTTAAATTTTTTAATAACCTTTATTTAACCAGGTGAATCCTGTTGAGGGCAGCACGGTGGCACAACTGGTAGAGTTGCTGCCTCTCAGCGAGCAGGTCCCTGGTTCAAATCCCGGTCCGGGGGCCTTTCTGGTTGGAGTTTGCATGTTCTCTCCGTGCATGCGTGGGTTTCCTCTGGGTACTCCGGTTTCCTCCCACAGACCAAAAACATGCATGTTAGACTGATTGGTAACTCTAAATTGTCCCTAGGTGTGAGTGAGAGAGTTGTTTGTCTTTAAGTGGCCCTGTGATGGACTTGCGACCCGTCCAGGGTGTACCCCGCCCCTCGCACTATGATTACCGGACATGGGCACCTGCGACCCCCGTGACCCAAAAATGGAAGAAGCGGGTAAAGATAATGGATGGATGGAATCCCGTTGAGATCACAGCTCTTTTGTAAGGGAGGCCTGGGCCTGAAGTAGAGTTGCATTCGGGTCGAAATAATCTGTCCCGACCCGGCCCCAGCCCGTAGCCATCATTTCCAAACCCCACCCAACCCGACAAATTAACAGTAATTACATGTCAACCAACCCTCCACCCCCCCACCACCCCCTGATATTTTAAAATAAGTGACTGCTTATAGTTATTAACGATTGGCGGACGCACACAACTGAATTAAAGGGGCAGAAGATCGGAGCTGAGGGGTTTTTGTTTTTTCATGGCCGTCAAAGTGCATTAAATGCCTGCTTCTGCTTGCATTCTGCATTATTCAGACATGGATCTTGCTTTGACATGCCAAATACTTTGTGATCTCACCTGTTTGAGTCGTCAACGGCACGCGTCCACTGAGTGCAGCGGCTGAATGAACGTCCATTTGGACTTTGATGGATCGTTGCCTGGCACTAGTCCATCTGAAGCTTAACTGAACTTTGTTTGTAACCTTCTTACAAGGTCGGTCAGCGAGCGGTCAAATGGCCACCTGCGGCTGGTGATTGTATGGCAAGCCATGTTGCCATATAATTTGATCGTCAGCTGCACACGTCCGCTGATGCAATCAAAAGCCCGACACCGGTCCGACGCACATTAAGCACAAATCTTAAACCCTAATCTGGGTCGGGCTCCAGGTTAGAAATAACAGCTCTGCCTGAAGGCAGACTAACATGCATGTTTTTGGACTGTGGGAGGAAACTGGAGTACCCAGAGAAAACCCACACAAACACGAGGAGAACATACAAACTTCACACAGAAAGACCCCAGGTCCAAATTGGGGATTGAACCCAGGATTTTCTTGTTGTGAGGCAACAGTTTTAACCACTGAGCCATCCTGCTGCCCAAATATATCTCATACATAGAGGAATTATTTGCAGCCTAACTCCTTTTACATGGTAGGAACTAAATGAATCTAGTTGGGAGGTGTTATGTTGAGAATAATGCAAAATGTTTGCATTTCCTCCTACTATTTTATAATTATAGTAAAAATGTAGAAATTCGTAGATGCGTTGATATACTCATTTCTTTTCTGAATTTCCACATCCAATACATGTTTTTGCAGTTGAGTATGAGCCCAGTGTTGTTTTTACCTTTAAATAATGGCCCTTTAATCCATTTTATCCGATACAGCATGCATCACAATTATTACTAAGCTCTTCCTTTAACTGGTCATTACTCATTTTTTATTGTATAACTATAACTAAAATAATAAAAATCATGCTGCTGTCCTAATATATGCACTTTAAAGTACAGAACTACCTGTACATAAGAGCATGTCCATGTTTCTAATTTCAGCATTTTCTTTTTTCCCCTTCTGCTTAGCTATTTTTGTTCCTCCTGATGTTTATGTTACATAATGACACTTTTTTAACGTTTAGCGCGTTTCTATCCGAAAGTATTTTAAGTCTGAGCTTCTCGGAACAGAACAACAGGATGGATCTGAGTCCGGCAGAATGAGAAACGCCACCAAATGTTCAGCTCGAAGGCATCTGTGAAAGATTTTGAAGCTTTATGTATTGCTCTGTAATACGAGCTAATATGTTTAAGACAGATGATGCAGGATGTGTCAAAACAAGCCGATGTTTGAACTAAATTTAGCGCCTCTGTTAATCTTTGTCTCCTTTGGGTTGCCAGGTTTGCCAGGGTTTTCCAGCATGTTTGGGAAGAAGAAGAAACGGCTGGAGATATCCGCACCGTCTAACTTTGAGCACCGGGTCCACACGGGCTTCGACCCGCGGGAGCAGAAGTTCACCGGGCTGCCGCAGCAATGGCAGAGCCTGCTGGCGGACACTGCCAACCGCCCCAAGCCCATGGTGGACCCTTCCTACATCACCCCCATCCAGCTGGCACCAATGAAGGTAGAGCCCGAACGTGCAGAAGGTGTCTGGTCTGAGCACCGAGAACACGCCATCACCCCGTTCCTTCTAACATCACCTGTGTTCACACGTGTCCCTTTTCTTTCTTTCTGTGTGAATTTTTTTTATTACTTCCTCCACTTCTTTTACTTTCTGTCTCCTCACTCTGTGTAGGTGTCGGTCCCTTCAGTGTTTCGTTGCTCACGTCTCTTCTCTCCACCTGCTGCAGTCTCCCATCAGACAAAATGGACAAATCTGCAGACCATCTGTCCACTTCAACCATTCACATATCTGAAATCATGCTGCTTTAAACTTGCGTTGAGCAATTTATTGATAAGTAACAGTGAATGACTCCTTGTCTGACACAGTCACTGACAAATAAAAAAAAAGCTAAACTTTCAAAATGAAGACATAAATCTTTGTCTTCAAAAAGGCTTTTGGTGCTTAAAGCAGATAAAATAGTTTTAATGAACAGGTTTAATGATGTTCAACATCCGGCGTGTCTCCCTGGAGTCTTCCTCACCTTTACTTATCTAAAGTTGTTTGATGCAGTGAATCTGGATTAAATGTCTCATCTGAAACCACACACGTTGCTCCTCTGGTCGGCTGTGTGGTTTTTCTGTAACGTGAACGTGTGTTTCCTCTTCTCTCCGAGTGTCTCCTCTGATGTGCTGTTGTTTGTTGGTTCGTCTTAGTTTACCGCCTCATTTTTCTTTGGCTCACAGATAAACAACATTCTGAACACTGAGTCAAACTCCACACGAGACCTAAACGCTGACACGTGTGCGATCCACATCTGTAAAGCTAGCTCATTCAAGAAACTTTGTTTATTCGTTTGATTTTCGGGACTGAAAGCTCTTACATGAATCTGTATCTCCTGGTTGCATCCAGTCAGTGTTTGCTGACAGGAAACAAGCCCGTGAGTGTTCGGTCACAGAGAACAGCAGGAGATATCTCTGAAGAGGGGGAAACAAGAAAATAATTCTCATGCTCTCTTCACAGATATCTCCCCAGAAAGTCCGGTCTTCTGAAACGCCGTTGCCCAAAGTATGACCTCTCTTACCTTACGTTTTGAATCCTCTCCCTCCTTTTTTTTTTATTTAGTGGTTGTTCTCACAGTCACATCTCAGCTGTTTAGTTCCCACCTTCCCCTTCTGCCTGCTGCCACGCATTTCAGGTGGAGGTGGGATGTCAGCAGGAACAGGGAGAAACATAGAGAATGACCTAACTACATCTGTGCCAAGTCTTTTCTTAGACCTCATCTCCACTCCTCCTCTGTTTCTCCTGCATGAGCCTCCGTAGAACAGAGAAGGCCAGCTGCAGCGGCATGCTCCCTTTGTTCCTCTACTGCTGGCTGTAGAGCACTGTTGATGATGATGATGTTAATGAAGATGATGATAATGATGGGTGTTGGATGTGAAGTGCATGTTGTCATAGCAGCTGATTCGGCTCTGCTGGAGGCCTTCAGTAAAAATGTGTCATAAAGGGTTTGCATGTATTAGAGGAACCCTTTGTTTCACATCTTCATCCAGCCAGAGCAGCCAAATCAAGAAGAGGAAGCTCCTCTTTTCCTTCCTCGTATCAATAAACAATAATACCTGAAATGTAATCCCATTCGATTGATTAGAAAACTCTTAATTGGATTTGTTAGGTTGCAGAGGATCTTGGGAGAATCTTGGTGCACGTTTCTACTTCCTGCACAAATATGACCTTCACGAAATAACAACAACAATAATAAAAACATTTATTCACCTTCACTTAAATTCACATTGAATGTCAGAACTTTGCAAATAAATATACTATCTTTCAAAACCTATTTCTTGTGGACTGATAACGTTAATGTAGAACACGTTTACAGCAATTTGAAGAACGGCTCCCTGGCACTGGAGTGGATCAGTTTTGGTTTTAGTTGTGTTTGAACCAGCAACACAAGGGACAAGTCACCGGGTGAGAGAGGAGCAGAGTCAGATAGATCCTGAAAGCAAACAGCTCCTATTCTGTGAGGCCTCTGAGGACATTTTACTTCTATGGCTGGATAATGGGCTCTGTTTAAGGTGTGCAAGTCCAAGGTTTGACTGCCATAGAGTTGTCATTTCTAACCCGAACCCAGAGCCCGACCTGGATTAGCGCCAGTCCAGTCCATAACAACGTGCTTAATGTGTGGGCCGGGTAGGTGTTGGGCTTTTGATTGTGTCAGCGACGCGTGTTGCTGACTATCCAATTATATGGCAACATTCACCAGCTGCACGCAGCCATTTGACTGCACACTGACCGGCCTTGAAAGAGGTAAAACGTTCAGTTAAGCTTTGGATGGACCACTGCCAGCGATCCATCGCCCAAATGGACGTTCATTCAGCCGCTGCGCTCATTGGACGCGCACGGCTGATGACCCAAACAGGTGAGATCACAAAATATCCGACAGAGCAGGGTCCAATACAGGCAGGGGAAGCATTTAATGCGCTTTGATGGCCATGAAAGGACAAACACCCCCTCAGTTTTGATCTTCTGCCCCCTTTACTCAGCCGCGTTCTTCCGCTGACCGTTAATAACTATAAGCAGTCAAAACTTAATTAAAATGTTTTTTTTTAGCGGGGTTTGGACCTGTAATGACTGTTAATTTGTCGGATTGGGCGAAGTTCGGAAATGATGGCTACGGGCTGGGGCCGGGTCGGAATTTTTGGACACGACTGCAACTCTAGGCTGCCGAGCTCGCAGCTCTTGAAGCTGACTAAAAACCCTGGAAGAATAAAGACTCAAACAGAACTAAAGGCCTGAAGCAGAAAGAATCTGCAACAAACGTGTCGAAAAGATCATTTCCGTGTTAGGCAAGGCTAAAATAATTGTCATGGTTTGCAGAGGTTGGACTCAGGATTGCAGACTGAACCCAATGAGTTAGAGAAAAACCTCAAATTAGGAATTAATAAACCCAAACAAAAGGCCGATGTGGCAGCAAAAACTTACAAAAATAAAAACTCGAGAAGACACAGAGGAGAACTGTACATGGCATAAAGTGCAACAATGCTAAACTTAAGAAGTGAAAACCAAGTGATTTTCTATGAACAGGAGCTGACGAGTGGAAACACCTGGTTTAATGACAACTGGGAGCAGGTGAGAGTGGGTGGGAAGAGCAACTGATTGAGGAGAAAATGGTAGATGACACAAAGGAAACTGGGGGGAAAAAATGAAACACAGAAAACAACAAACAAATAAAGAAAATAAATCTAAAAACTAATAAATACCACACACACACACACACACACACAAAAGAAACATTACACTTTATTCCCCCAAACTGCCATTTAAAGAGCTATCTACAACAGGTAAGATGGTGATTATTAATAATCTTTTTCCAGAACTTCCCCTTCAAAATAGCTGAAATTCTGTTTCATATTTAGAACATCAGCGACACAGACCTTGGTGTCTTTTAACATACATTTTTATTAAATTTGTGGACATTAATATGTGTTTAGGTTTGTGTGTTTACTAGCGAAGCATGAGGTTTAATTTAGGGGTAAAACCTCACAGTGTAAACCTGCAGGTATTATGGTCCAGATTTGGTTTTTAGGGATGAGGTTTCAGGGTATTTTTTGTTGAAATAAGAGTCTAAAGTGATTCAAACACAACGGTTGTTGTAGAAGTGTGAGACCCTGATTTTGAAGGTGAACTGGGTAATTTTTCGTGTCTCACCCTCAGCCTGATAGCCTTCTCTCCTGTTTGCAGTGACGCTTGACTGACATGTAGTTTCCTCTTCCCGGCAGACTCCCCCAGCTCTTTGTGCTAAATGTGTATGCGTGTTTTTTTTCACCAGGTGGGCACGGATGAAGCAGCCTCCGGGCTGACAGTTCAGATCCATCCTATCTGAGCAGCATACAGAAACAGATGACATATTGGATGTCCATGCTAACCTGTCGGGGTGTGTGTCTGTCTAGATATTATTTTGTGATTGTGTCTGATAAACGGTTAGAGTTTGGCAAGGTCATCACACTTAAAAAAGGTCTGCCCTCGTCCTCTGGCTCGTGCACTCATTGTTTATTCAAGAGGCTTGTAGTCTTGTTGTCAGACCGCTCATCTCTGCTGAACGTTTGTGTTGCTCAGTGGTGCTGAACTCTTAAATCTGCTCTCTCCTCAAACCTTTGGAGCTTTTTAGCACGCATGCTAATCCAGCAGTGCAGGCTAACACTGCTAATGCATGATTATTAAAGGCCCAGCTTTCCTTGAACGAGTTCACATCACCTGAGTTTGAAACTAAGATCTTCTTATGTTGAGAAATTATGAAGTTGTAGTTGTTTTGTTGAAATTAAAAAAAACAACATGACGATGCACAATTTCAAGCAGTGTTGTTCTCAGAGTATGTGTTGAGAATGATTTTCAGCTACTGCTGCATTAAATTGTAGCTCAACATCTGTAAAACTGAGTTGTAGCCATGTTTGTGTTGGCTAAGGTTGAACGGCTGTGGCGGCCATCTTGAATCATGCTGCCTGTAAACGTTAATCAGTTGAACAGACGAGCATAGGCGTTGCATTAATTATATGTGATGGGGACGTGCCCCCTCACATTTAAAAAATATTCATTTGGATCCCCCACACTTACCATGGAATAGTTCACCCAGCGCCGTTTCTTCGTGAATAATTCCATTCCACTTGATTAACAGCAGAATACTCAAACCAGTAAATGTCCACTCCAGTTTTTTTTTTTTTTGGTTACCTACAATAAATCACCACCCAGCATGCAATCTTTCCTTTAGGTCACTTAGCTTGGCAGGGCGCTCATCTATTGTTTTTTTTGTTGTTGAATGTGTTGGGGGAGGAGGGGGAAATACCTCTGTGTTGCGCACTAGCTAAGCGCTATGTTAGTGCCAGCAGTTGTCGACCGGGTTGTGGGGTTAGAATGCATGAGAGAGGCGGAGCATGCTCTATTCACACAAGGAGAGCTGTTGGTCAGGCTACTTCTTGTTGTGCCATGCTGTTGCTCTCCAAAATAATTACTGAATTAAGTGTTTACTTATTTAGGTAAACATATATGTTTAACAACACGTTAAAATACACCAGAATGCAGGAAATGGCATCTACTTTATTTAAAATTTCTGTGGGAGGACCCCCCAGACCCCTCGTTGTGAACATTATAAATGCTTCTGACGCCAGTGCAGTCAAGGATTACTTTCCAGGAGTTTAATTAAAATCTGTCCACTAGCTAAAGAGATATTTTGCTAACATGACAAACACACGCGGACACAAGCAGAAACATTATCACCTGCATTTTACCAGCAGGTGATAAATATTTGGCTCTGATCACATTTAAAATGTGAGAATGATATATTTTAATTTAATTTTTCGACAGTGGCCTGCAGGCAGAACATCTTTATTGCATTTTTGACGTGTCATTAGTCAAGTTGGTGGGTGTGATGGTGCAGAGGTTAGAGAAGTTGGGCCTGTGATCAGAAGGTCGCCGGTTCAACTCTTGGGCCAACAACATTGAAAAAAAAAGTAGGTGGGAAAGGTGAAACACCCACACCTGCCTCCACCATCATTTTCCCCACTCTAGGCCTTTGAGCAAGGCCCTTAACCCCCACCATCTGTTCCCTGGGTGCCCTAGCAGCGCTCTGCTCCACACAGAGGGCTGTGGTAGCTCAGTGGTCTGTGGTTGTGTCAGGAAGGACATCCGGCGTAAAAACAATTGCCAAATCTTAGTGTGACTAGTTTGCTGTGGCGACCCCAGAAGAAGGGAGCAGCTGAACGAAAGGGGAAAAAAATGTGTGTGTGTGTGTGTGTGTTGTATTAATTAACACTCGCTGAGGCAGTGAGGTGTCTAATATTAACACCAGTCTCATGTTGCACCTTGACTTTGACACCCTCACATTACAGACTCCATTACAGCTGAGATAGAAACTGACCCTGATAATGATGTGTGTGTGTGTTTGGTTAAGATGAATGTGTGTGTGTTAGCCTTGGTATTTATAGTTATTAGCTTGTTAATGTTATCTGCTTGTTTCTGGTTGCTCATGTTTCTTCAGCCTTTTGGGCCAGGATCATGTTTCAGAGTTAAGACAG